GCAGGTAGGCTTGTCACATCAATTTTTGACAACATTTTCGAGCTACCTATGATTATAGCTTGACACTTCGTTGGATTAACTGATATTCCATAACGCCTAGACCATTCTTTAATAACTTCCAAGTTCAGATTTAACATTCTAATAGCGTCATGGAGCTCTTCGATAGATGATTGCAAGTAAATTTGGAGGTCGTCAGCATACAGATGGTACGAACAGTTAAGAATAGATGTGATCGAGTTTATAAAAACTGAGAAAATTAATGGAGAAAGTATACCGCCTTGCGGGACGCAATTGTAGTTAGTCATAGGGTAAATGTTTAAAACTTTATTAAATTTATTATATAAATAAGCAGATCGAGTCATAAACTGCCTCTTAGCATAACTTGACTTGACTGTAGCAATGGGAGCTACATTATGCTTTCGTCTCCTAGATATTATAGAAGGATCATATGGGACCGTTTTGTGACGTTTTAGAATTATATTTAATATATACAATTGCCTAACTTTAAGAACATCACACATTTTGTATAGGTTATCAGTCGGAAACCAATAAGGTTTAAAGCTCATTAACAAAATTACGATACTAGCTATCCGCCCCGGCTTCGCATGGGTAATTTCTGGATCTCGGTAACAGTGCCACGGACCGGGCCCAACGATTACTAAGAATCATCTAGGTGACTCCTTAAGTACCCCATAAAAATTTCAAACCAAACTCAGTCAAGCCGGAGGAAAACTTTCATCAAAATCGATCAAGGAGGAGAAGATTTACGAAAACACGCACTTTTATTATAGACGATTTTTTTACAGTTATTTTGGAAAATATTAGTAATTTAGACGTGATACGTTCGTAAACAAGCAAACAGACAGACAGTTCTAAAAATGATAGTAATGTATTTAATTACTTACTTTTACTCTTAATAATCTTTGTCTCATAAATATAAAATGTACAGACATCTTTAATTATTTTTTTATTATATGTATAGATATGAGTATTATTTGTGGCAGTATTCACATTAACCTTTGCCAGGATTATTTTATATAATTAGTTTTTAAGTTTGTTTTACCCGCACTCCGAGATAAGGCTCGTAAAACTGCTGTAATATTTTTAGTTTATTAGTTTACCTACTATTTCATAAATGATAAATAATTAAATATCTTTAATAATGTCTCGAGTGGCAGCCTCGTACCGGCAGGCGAAGTGTAGGGCGTCCTTCGACTAGATGAAGTGACGACCTGGTAAGACATACAGGAAGTCAATGAATGCAGGTGGCTCGGGTCCGTGCTTTGTGGTATTCCTTGGGGGAGGTCTATATTCAGCAGTGGACTTGTGAAGGGCTGTAATGATGACGATGATGATGAATAATGCCTCACAGGCCGTGTACGGTTTCTAGGACATGGAGTCGTAGCCACACTGCCGCAGCACGGGCACTGCAAGTCAGTGTAAACAAGCATTAAATACCGTACGGGCCGCATCGCGACCGTACCGTATCCGCACCGCATCCACGTTAATGCGAATTTTCCTTCTATAGTTAACTTACGGGGTGACACCGGTGTGCCAGCAGTGCGGCTACGACAGGAAACTTACCATTGTAACAGCGTTCAAACTCTTACTAATATTAAGTATGCTTCTTATTCTTAATATCAGCCCGTAAACTCCACTGCTGAGCAAAGGCATCTGTTGTAGGAAGGATTTGGCTCAATAGTCACGCATGGCAGGCGGTCACACCTTCGACGCTGCTACCCGTCATTGATTTAAAATAAGATCGGTGGTGATGGTAAGCTTCCTGTACTATACTTCACACTGCCACTGTACAGGTACTGCGCCATAAGTTCATTACCGGGTTAAACGGGTTGGCAACCGGAGTTTTTCATTTTTAGTCGATATTTGGAAGACGCTGCTGGCCATATTGTGATTTGTATACCTCTGTGACCTCTTACTACACCCCTGATGATATGGGGCAGTGATTATTCTATTTTTTAATTTTTAATTTTTAATTATAGTTGTTTCCCCATTTTTTGGCTGTTTGTTCGTTCTTGAAAATTTATTTTGGCAAAAGAAATATTTTTTCTTTCTTTCTTTCTATTTACTCCGCCACTACATGGTATACTCATTAAACACACTACAAGTTAATTATACAAAGAAAATTGTCATTAACGCGGCAGCGGTTCGGATGCGGTGCGGTTACGGTACGGTCGGCTGTATACGAGATCGTTGTACTTCCATCTACTGGAAATCATACGATTTTTCTGCCAATTCCCATAGTCGTTATAGAACTTATTGGGGTGATTGATTCTCTAACGCCACCAGCACACGGTTCACCATTGTTCATTCTAGATAAAATATCGATCCGCTTCTACAGAGAAAGGAAAAACGCCTTTGTGGCGTTATAACAACCATTTACTACTATAGATTAATGAACCGACTTCTCAAACAATTACTGTTTGTGTGCCAACTCTTACATTTTTTCTTACAAGTAATATACACCTACTCTGAATGGGGATTATGAGGTCATTGCTTCCCCATTGTCCTAGATTTGTTGTATTTATGTCGATATGAGATAAGAATTCATCTAATGAAAAGCCTTTATTTTTTTTTGGTGTAAGAAATCTCGTTTGTAATTGTACATTATTTTACCGTCTAATTCGTGCTATGTTTAGTAGTGTGATCACTAATTCACATTCTAAGCGTGTCGATTACGCCATTCTCTCTTTAAAATACGCGAGACTTTGAATGAAAAAAGACAATCAGTGATATAGAGTAGATAGTCTTCAAATTAAATTACATTGTTTACTAATTACACAACTCAAAACTGCATTTGTGTGCACACACAAACGCGCACACACACACGCGCGCACACGCAAGCACGCGTGTGCATACGCTTCACGCATGCACGCTTACACACACGTACGAGACACACTCGTACACACACTAATCGAAATATCCCCAGTAAATGTTGTAAAGGCCTAAGAATGACCGAGCTGGCAACCACTACTTAGAAGATTTGTCCATACTCTTCGGTGTCATACTTCGCAGTGCCCTTCATCACCGAGTAGTGATATTGTGGTTCGGAGATTCGGATAGATTACTATTATTTTCGTTAATCATCAGGATGCACCGCATGTTAGTATGGTTGCCAATTGAAGAAAAAGGACAAACAAACTACCTACCTCCTACAATCTACCTGATGGTAAGTGGGTTACACATCCCATTGATACCTGAAACCAACTTCAAACAAAGAAGGCTACAGATGCGTTGTCACTTCTGAGGACTAAGGTGAAACGTCGTATAACTTGATACTAGCTGTGCCCCGCTGTTTCATCGGCGTCATCACGTGTCCGAGGTGCGCGATATGACCTAGTTCAAGCATTTTATAACGACTAGGGTTTAAGCGTCGTTCGCGCGCCCAGCCAAGTATTGAATTATTTTAATTTTACATTATCTCTTAAACTCCAAATAATATGGTATAAAGAACAAAGTTTATCTTCATAAAATTGTCTTGATGATGAAGTAACTTTCGTTCGTAAGGATAAATAGGCCATGCCTAATAATAACGCTTATAAATCACTTTTAAATTTTCAATTTTTTTTGTCACAAAATACCTTATTGGCTTATGTATAAGAAATAGACATATGGTATCGCGGACTTTTGTTAAGACGGAGTAAAGATCTATATTTTTCTAGAACATTGTATTTACGTATCCCTAACGATAACACCAGCGTACGCTGATAAATCATTTCGGGAGTGCTTTTTCTTCTGACTTGCTTAACAAATATCCATATAAATAGGCTAGCTGAGTAATATAGCTTAATGCTAGACAGCCTATACTATTCCACATGAATCTGGCTATAATATACAAAAATAATTTTTCATATCGGGCTGGAAGTTCCAGAGATTAGCGCGTTTAAACAAACAAAAAAACTCTTCCGCTTTATTATATTATAGTATAGATTATACTGGCTATCTATGTCCATTAAAAATTAAAAATTTTGTACAACCGACTTCAATATAAACTATTAAGAATAACTCAAAAACTATTGGTCATCTCTTGATCAAATTTATATGGGACCACATGTGAAGCACCAGGTTTCAAATAAAAAAAGAACCATCGAAATGGGTTCACCACACATAAAAAAACATACAGTCAAATTGAGTACCATCTTCTGTTTGAAGTCGGTAGAAAATAGGTATGAGGGTGGTAACTACAGATTCCTAAACAGAAAAAGAGTATAAGTTAGCTGTAGATGACCAAGATCTGCAGTAGCCACATCAGTTAGGCTGTAAGATCGTTTGTCACTTCCATATTATTAAAAAAAACTACCCAAATGAACTACTGAGCAGGAAAGGAGTCCTACCATCTAGTATATGCAAAGATAAACGATTAAAAAACTTATCAATAATAAATATAAGTTAAATTTGAGCTAAGACGTAATGTTCTTAATATCTGTGTCCTTAAGTTGTATTTCACTGCGTCCAGAAAGAGCCACTCCAGTTCGCAACCACACCTGCGCTTTAGTAAGCGAAGGCTTTAGCTGTAGAGTGACTTAGCTACTCTTCGAACGTGTTGTGTTTTTAAAGCAGGTTAGGTCAAGCGCGAACTGTATTCATGAACTTTGATTCCGTACAAAGATCAAAAACAAAACGTTCTAATCTGGAAGATTTTTACAAATATTCCAATCATCAGTTATTCGTTTATCAATTATATTGTTTAAATAAAAGCAAGGAATATATGAATATAAAACGTGCAAGCAAAGAAAACAAACGAAAACGAAAACGTGCTGTATTTATTTAGAACGAATAATGTCGTAGCAAAAATGTAAGCATTTAAACTAAACAGTAAAAGCAACACGAAAGTACTGTTTATCACATAGCAATTTCCGTTGCCATCTCAAACTACGTAACCCAAATAGCGATGGCGGTGGCTTTCCCGGGCATGCGCAAACATCGGCAAGGAAGCGGCGAGCTAGTCCGTCCCTGCAGTTGTTTGTGATGTCCGCGTGCGAATGGGAGGCGCGGGCTGGGCGCGGGGCGAAGCTCGCGTAGCTGACGACTCCGACTTCGAGACGCTGAAGCAGCTATTGGCCTCTGAAGACGGTTGGAACCTGGAGTATGAACGTGATGGCGTCAAAGTCTGGGCCGAAAACGCCGCGCACGGCGCGTTGCGTACGGTTAAGGTAAGTTTTTTCGCACACGTTAACCTGCCAGTCTCTATTGTGCTTTGGTGCATATATTTTTTTAAGTGTCTGTGCCTATTAACTGTTTCTTTTTATATTTATGTTATTGTTCATGGTTTGGTTGTTATAGGATAAAATTTAAAGATATCAGTTTATGAATATATATTTTGTGTTTACTTATTATTTTCTTTCATTTACTTACTTTTAAATACGGTAAATATTAAAATAGTATGAGCATCACATTATTAAAGTATAAATAATTATTTTAAACGTTAAATAGGGAAAATTTATTTATACTTGATAAAATAAAACATTACTTTACACGTTGTAAACACTGAAGAAGAACAAATAAGAAAATTAAACGTTGAACGCGACAAGGAATATACAATATTTTTCTTCAAATGCCAACATCACCGATATTAAATGGGTAAAAATTGTTCATTAGATATATTTAAACCAAACACACTGATTAGTTATAGAGCGTATCATTACCACTGCAACAGTCAGCATGGAGCCTATTAGTGGCGAGTTCAAGAAATTCATCGTTTGGTGCATTTTGCAAACGTTTATACTAACCACAGGATTCTAAAGAGTGCTTAAGGAGAAGAAGAGGAACAAACATTGCTTTACAAGAACATCGATGATCCACTTCGATGTTAACATACATATCTCTATCAATTTTGATGAGTTTTTTGGTATGTTTTTGAGTGGGTCCCTGGATGGTTTAGATTCACAATTGGGCCCGGTATGTGGCGCATTTGTCTAGATTCAGAAATCACCCGTGCGAAGCCGGGGGGGATCGCTAGTACTACATAAACATAAATCTTGTTAAGTTATTTGATATTTAATTATCTATGTGAATTCATATTTTTTTTCAATTATATGAGGGCATAATATTGCCAACGTCCCCCACCTCAACTAATTAATGTAATTATGGGCTACAACCATGGATATCTATAACCAACTTCCAACGACGGAGGCTATAGATGAGCTGCCACTGTAATTATACCGTCTCTTTCGCTCTTCAGCTGGAACATAACGTAGGTCCACTGTTGCGGTCGACAGAAGTGCTAGGGTGGTTGGTACAAACCCAGACGGACTTCTAAGCAAAAAAAAAAACGCCTAGCTGATTATGGTTGTTCCATCTAAAACAATAAATGTTGAATTATTTATTTATTAATTAAAATCCGTTTTCCGGAAGGGATTTTAAACCCTAAATACTCACCTAGTAAGCATGAATATATCTTTATTAAATATATAAATCTTGTGTACGCGTGGTTGTCATTGAACTCCTCCTAGACGACTGGATCGATTTTGATGAAATTTTTTTTGTGTGCTTGAGTGGGTCCTCGAATGGTTTTAATTCACAATTGGACCTGGTAGGTGGCGCTGTTGTCGAGATCCAGAAATCACCCGTGCGAAGCTTGGGCGGATCGCTAGTGATAGAATAGAATGTTCTTTATTCAATATTTTAATGTAATATAGCTTTAGATAAAAAGAAACTTCTTTTTTTATAGGATATGATGACAAACGAGCACACAGTACACCTGATGGTAAGTGGTTGCTTCAACTTCGATTACGAATCAAAATGCATATGCGTTGTCACCCGTGAGGACTAAGATGGAATGCCTCTTTAACAGTAAAAAGAGTCTCCGGTTCTCTATATTCACCATACGAAACACAGCAGCATTAAGCTGCTATTTTATGCTGGTATTCTGTGAGAGCGTGGTCCTTCCCCGGTCGAGCTGACTCATTCGTGCTACAATTATACTACTAATATAGCTGCAGCATGGCTCTACCACGTAACAAAACTATACAATTGTTATAATATTAATATTAATACTAAACTTATTTACATGAATTCTTAATGAAACAGCTTGGTGGCGGTCCCCTCAGCCCATCCACCGAGAGAGATTATTTTGATGTCCGTTCAAAGGTCGGTCTTGAAATTCTCTTTGAAAAACATTAAATGAAAATTACTTGTGTTGTTAAACACTAACTCCGCCTAGATTTCTATAAGCCGCCACAATTATTGGTTCTAATTTTAATGACCAGTCATTATGTTTAAAAAACCTTTCATCACTTTTACGATCCCTTTTATTATATATTAAAATTGCAAAATGCAAAATTACTTTTAATAATATGGAAAACAGGTATATGAGCAAGTCACTCGGACACCAAACGGTCGCCCTTAAATCGCGTGAATTGTTCTCGACTCGTAGCGCCGGTGACCGTTTAAAGCTGGGTTCACACTTGTACCACATTTGTGTCATTATGAAATTCAAAATCAGGTGTATCGTATCGAGTATTTGATTACGCCAACTTCGACCATATCGTATCTCTCACCATATCATGCCACAGTCCTGCCATAAACCATGTCCACACTTACGATACTGTATCTTGTCAGCGTTTCACCAACGTGTGTCGTCATGTATAGACGCTCAATCTTTCTTACGACCCTTGTACCTAAATTTTCCGTTCCTCGTATTATTTTCTTGTGATTCAGTTAACAACTTTCATTCAGTTCAGACATGGAGCCAGAATTCATATCTGTGATTGCTCAGAGTGCAGCAGCGACTTGTACTTGCTTCATTGTAATGAGTCAAACAGGGTAAAAAAAAGACGGATATGTCGTTGGTGGCAGCTAGAACTGTTTAGAAACCCAAACCTATATGGCGGAAGAGAATGACTGCTTGATTCTTGATTGATCATGCATCGACATTGCGTATCCCTTTGATGATCAGAAAAAGAAAACCGCCTCGAGATGGATCACGGTGTATCATGTATCAAATAAAAGTACGATATCTGTCGATCATGATACACGTATCCGATACGACATGCATCACTTACGCGGTTATACAGTTAAAATTCATAATTTGCACACATCCATAAATTCATAATAACAAAATATAAACTTAGCAGACATAGTTTGAATACAATATATATTGATTAAAATGCCAAATCGATTATTTAAGTAGATGGCTCTAATAATATGAGCTGCCACTGTATATGAATCGGGGTGTATCAAGCTATGGCATGTAACATGATCGCGAATAATTTTGCGTCCACACTAGCAAAAATAATACACGTCGATGTCACGCATCGGAGATCTGATACACTATGGATACACTAAAATGATACAAGTGTGGACCCAGCTTAAGATTATAGACGCCCCGCAACACAACATAACAATATATACTTTAGTATATGACAATCCATCCATCCAAATGGACCGAAGCAAATAATGTTTTATTGTTAATTTTTTTTAGAATAATGGTGACAAACGAACACACGGTAATGACGCATTTCATCTTGGCCGTCAGAGATGGTAAACGTCTGTAATTTGAACCTTTATGATGATATGATGATAGATCTAGTTATCTATTAGCCAGTATTGTTTACCACCAGGTGGGTATAGTGCTCGATTGTCACCCTCATTATAAAAAGACACAGCATTAGTGTTAGAGAAATAGGGTAATGAGCAGTCCCTTTCTAATGATAGGCTGCCAAGAGCGATTAGACCTAATGTAGCTATGGATTTGTGAGAGTTACTCTTAGCAATACTAGCCGGTGTGGCAACGTACGACGAAGTTAAAACAACATTAGGTTTTAATCAGTGTAAACTTCCCCTGCAAGCCAGGTATGCATAAACTTTCCACTAAAAATGTATAATGCGTTTTATAATCTGTTATATCACGGGCTGAATAAACAAGTGTAAATAAGCATTACATTATCTGTGACACTCAGCTAAGTATACAAACGATTATTGATGGCCACGCTGCCAAGGTTGTCAGGGATAATTTTATAAATATACACTTATATAATATTCATGCAAAATTTATGCTTCCTCTTTTTTAAAAGCCTTGCCTAGGAATTATATTACGAATTTCTCGTGTGACGTTGCACTTTTTTTTATCGTAATAATAAATAAATATGACAAACGAGCAGACCGTCCATCTGATGGTAAGTAGATGCTGTGACTTATGAATATCTACATTTCTTCTCAATTAAGAATCAAAATGCAGATGTGTTGTCATCCTTTAGGACTAAGATGGAATGCCTCGTTTTCAGTTAAAAGGGTCTCCGGTTCCCTACACTCACCATACGAAACACAGCAGTGTTAAGCTGCTATTTCACGATGGTAGAGCATGGTCCTTTTCCGGTCGAACCAATTCGTGCAACGAAAATAATATTGTTACAGTTTGGTTATACCACGTAAAAAAAGTGTTGTTCATACTTAAATTACACATGGACGGCCAGTTGCTAAACGGAAGATCTACCGCTAGGTGTATCGCCCGGTAAGCACAGTTCTTTTAAACTACACATTGCTCAGCGTTGACAGCACTACCACTGGACTAACATCCCGGCTCTAAAAACTATCTGTAGCCCACATAAACACTTGTTCTCAGCAGGATTAGAACCAGCGGCCATTTTGAGCCACAGACAAACTACTGTTACCGAGCAGTGCATATTCGCAATTCTTGTTAAAGTGTTTTCCTCTTTACCATTTATCCGATATATTATATTTTAAGTGCTATTTACGCTATCTGTCTTTTTATCTTTGATTAAACGTTACCCCACACTAGCATTTTCTCCTGTATCGTGTAGACAGTTTACATACTTAAATTGCTAAAAGACAAACACCCATAAGCGGAACAATTATTTGTAGCCTATACAAATATTTTTTCCGTACGCGATTCGAACCAGCGGCCAGCAGCACTGCAACTCATTGCTACGCCACTGCGCCAAGGAGCCATCAGCTATATTCTATAAGTATTATTTACGCAGTTTACCACGATTCATCCATCCATTCATTCGTTCGTTCATTTATTCATTCATTCATTAGAGCTCATCAAAGTCTTTTGTACGTGGTAGAGCCATGCTGCAGCTATATTAATAGTATAGTTGTAGCACGGATGGTTCCGCTCGACCGGGGAAGGACCATGCTCTCACAGAATACCAACGTAAAATAGTAGCTTAACATTACTGTGTTTTATATG